TTTTTTTTTCTGTCAGGTCGATAGCTTCTGGTAATTCTTCATCTCCAGGTTCACATCTGGCACAGAATCAATATGGCACTTTATGTCATGGGGCCCTCAGATGTTGCATGCTGAGATTGAAATAAAGACAGCATCCTCTCAAATGGTACTCTGATACAACTCTATGCAGGTTCTATCAACCATGTAAGTGAGTAAAGTGAGTGCCTGCAAGTGTTAGAAGTTGAAATCAATATATTGAAGCCCTGTACCTCTTATGTACTGGTAACTCTTGTTGATGCAGCTATTAAGGGATCATGTCTCACCATTTTCATCCTCTCAGGTACTAGATTCTGCCCTCAGTCATGGAAACTCACCAGCACTTCCATCTATTTTGGCAGCAAGGAAATTGGACACAAACAAGAGATGGTGACCTCATTGCATGGGTTTTCTCAATCTGTAGCTGAAGTCGAAATGTTGCTAAGAATCCTGTCAATTGGCTAAACACAAATCTGCTTAAGGTGGAATTGTGTTAAATATTAGTAATTTATGAAAGGTTAAAATTCTAAATGTACTATACTAATGTTAGTACTGTATTGTGAGAATTTGGTTATACATCAAGACAATGGCTCTTAGGCAGAGGCAAGCTTTTAATTCCTTTTTTTGCATGTATATGGTTACCTGTACTGATCAATGTATGAAAGTTATGACAATTTGGTTTTGCATCAAAGCAATTTCTCATAGAATTGGGCCTACATCAGATGCGAGAAGTGGTTTCTTTGGGAAGAGTGTACTGATTGCTACTAATAGTTGTGGAAAAAATGAAATGTTGTGAAGATTTGTTGGTACATTAAGACCATCAGCTAGAATCCTTCTTGTTCCAGTCTCATTTATAGAGATTGTCAGAAGTCAAAATCTGTCTGAAATTTCCTTACCTCTGGCTGAAAGGTTGCTGGAGCTATGAAGGCACTGTAACAAAGCACTTCTTGACATTATTTTCTTCTCAGGTGGATGCTACATATAAAAGGAGGACCCAAGTACACACTGCAGCAATGACAACTGGTAGGCCACAAACTATGAATGTTGACATCATGATGTCATCACAAAGGTGAATCCTTCTGATGCTATGACCTCTTTAACACAAAGCTGCTCAAGATAAAAGGGTGTTTTTAATCAGTAACTTATTAAGATAAAAAGAATCATGTTTTTTCTTCTTTTCAACAACTGCATCGATAAATTCTTTGTAATTTTTATTCTGTGAGAATTTGGAACTTTGTCAAGGCAATTCTCCCTTCTATACCAATATTTCTTTTGAGAATTTGGTAGTACATCAAGACAGTTATTCTGACTACGACCAAGTTGTATTTTATTTTGTGTCACCAGAATTCTCCTAGAAGAAGCTATGATAATTAATTTATTTAATAATTAATTTCATTAATGAGAATTCAGTGGGATATCAAGGCAAATATCTTTTTTCTTAGTGATTGCTACTACTTATCTTTTTCCTTGGTAGATGCTGAGGTCATGTACACAGAGAATCTGCAAATCAGAGAATTTCTGGGTGCACTAGCAGCAGGGATAGCTGGACATCACTAACACATGCTGTCATCATGGAGTCTTCTCAAGCTGTCACTGATGATGAATTCTTAGCGGAACATGCTGTCAATTTTCTTCAACACAAAACTGCTCAAAATGGGAATTGTATCACCTAACGTTTAAAAGGTGAAAAGAATTATTGTCACAGTGACTGCTAATCCCACAGGCACTGATGTACATATTTTAGTGAGAAGTAATATTTTGTTGTTACATCAAGACAGTGTCCCCTAGAATCAATTATCCATCCCAGCGGCCACATGTACATGTATGCATGTTTAAGCTGTGAGAATTTGGTGACTGTTCAGTACATCAAGACAATATTCACTCAGTTGAATGGTGCTTATATCTCTCCATGTTGTTTGCTATTACATACAGTACATCTTTTTAGAATTCTGTGGTTCATCATTACAATTCCCTCTAAAACAGATCCTTGCTTATTAAATAAGTAAGGTATGTTTATTTTTATAACAGGTAGCACTACACATAGCAGTGATACAGTTTCAGAAAGTTGTCAAAGTCAATGCATTCAAATTCTCTACCTGTTGTTATAAAGGGCTGGTGCAGCTATGGAGGCCTTATGTGCCACAAGGCACAAAGAAGCTAAGTGAAGTGAAGTGAAGCAGCTATGGATGACATACTGCGAAAGGCATCTCAATTCTGTTTTCTTTCTCTTGTGGCGTATGGAAAGCCCTCATTTCATGTACACCAGGATCAACATGGTACTTGGACACCAGCAAAGAACGTTGATGACATAGAGCTTTCTCAGGTGGTCACTGGATGATCCTACCAATTCGCTTAAACACAAAATTGCTCAAGAGAGTGGAATATTGGTAAGTTTTAGTAGGCTGCAAGAATTTGATGTTAGATTAACATCCTCAGTACTGATGGTTATCATAATGAGCAAGTTGTATTGACCATGTACAGCTTAATCAAGGTAAACATCAACCTCCCTTACCATTGTTGAAAGATGGTAAATCACAGAGCACTTCTCAATAATGTTATCTCACATGGATGCTGCTGTCTGTTTGGGTGACCCCCTGTGGTTTCCAAGTGGACTGGTGTCAACAACAGTTTTAGACCAATACACAAAGTTGACATCATGAGGTCAGTGTTGCTGTCACATCCTGGTAATAAACTTGGAGACAAAGCTGCTTAAGGTTGAAGTTAGTAACTCTCAGAGGATTAAAAACATACCAGTCTTAATATTATTCCACACCTACAACCTCTACTAGTTTTACTATACTAATGTCTGTTTTGAGAATTTGATGGTACCATCAAAACAATATATCTTTGATTCACACATGTTATTCTCCATACTGACTGCATCGCTAGTGTATGTTCTGAGAATTTGGGTGTATATCAAGATATAATAGAATATAATTTCTCTGTACTGATTGCCTTTCTTACTAATGCATGTTCTTAGAATTTGGTCTACATCAAGACCATGTCTTCTAGAATCATGCCACCTCTCCACATACCATTATTGCAACTTCTCAGGACTGCATTTTTGTAGCAAATGAAAGAAGCAAGTTAACCCTTGATCCATTGGTACATTTCTTCTCCACTCTGGCAGTAGCAGAATAAAGCTGTGTGCAAGTCCATGGGTGATTCTCCATTTATGAGGCTGTTGTCACAATATGATTTCACCGGCAATCTACTAGGGAACTTAAGCACATTTTACAAGTTAATAGCTGGAACTGAAAAACATACATATACATCACTTACCTTCATGATAACAAAAGATGATCCAAAATGTCTTAATGAAATGAGCAATATCTTTTACTTTTGTAATGATTTTCACGCCTCCGAAAATGGACGTTTTGAGTTATGTGATTGCCCCCGAAAGTGGGCTAATTTGACCTAGACAGTAATAGTTATTTAATCTCAAGTTAAGTGACTCATAATGTATTACAAAAAAGCACACTGACACCATTTTTTCTAGTTTTATTGTATTGATAAGTAATATCAGAAACTCATAAGGGGCTCAATACCCCTTTTAAGTTTCAGGCAATGCATATTAATAGAAAAGTTAGTTACAATAATATTTAATGTCTTCATGGTTTCTTGCTGTCTTCTCCATTCTACTCGCTCCCGAAAATGAGCAGCCACCACATGCTATGATTACTATGCTTTTTACGATAACAATATTGCTTTTTACAATGCAAAAAAATCCACAGGACCTAAATTAAAGCATGAGGGGGTGCACTTCTTAAGCTGAATAATTTGGCATCCAGAGAAAGCCAAGAGTGTCCCAGTGTCAGTTGACACTTCTTTTGGAACACCCAGGGCTCCTGGATGATTCTCATTGGTCTGTAATCTTTGGCTTGGTAATGAATCAATGTCAATACCAAGCCTTAATGTGCTTGTAGCCGGATAATGTTTGGAAACCAAAAGCCGAACTGTAAGCGAAAGCCGAACCAAAAGGCTATCATTAATTATTATAATTAAAACAATTTAATCCACGTACCTTTTGCCAGGTTGTAGAAATAACCTACCTTAAATATCATCTCTTGGTCCTTCAACCCAAAGGATAGCTCTGTCTCAACATAAGCATCGCCAGAGAAATGCTTCTGAATGACATGACATGACAAGCATACAAGTGGAGCAGCCAAGAGGTACAACTGACACTAAGATCACGGATGACTCTTATTGAGTGGTTTCTCTTGGCCATATTCCAGTCTTGTTGATCCCTTTTGAAGCTACTTGACATGTATAGTGATGTCATGAGATTACTTGAAGGTACAATGATCCAGTGAGAATTCCATGCTTTGGAAATTCATCCACCCTTGCTGCAAAATAGTCCTTCAATTATGTTTGTAATGAAGTCTTTCTCTCACAAGACTTCCGGGTTAGAGTTCAGTATGAGGTTGACAACCTCACCCCATAAATAGGAAATATCTCAAAGGGCAGCAACAAGATTCAATTAAGCAGGAAGTCAAAGACTAGGAATGGAGTTTGAAATGTAAGGGCTGTATAGCACTAGCAGACGTTCACAGGTGACCAGGTAGACGAGTGAAAAAACGTATAATTCACATAATCACTCTTGGCTTCAGTCAGTGCAGATGGAGTGAATTTGTTTCTTAGGAAACAGACGTGGAAGCAATTTTGCTTTTAGACCTGAGTGATATCCAAGATTCTAAAGAACTTGCAGTTGCTTACCTTGAGAAGTTTGCTGAGAAGTTCATCCTTGAATAGGAAACAGTGAGATATTGATCAAATCCAAATTCTGCTGATGCTGGGCAAGGATGAATCCAGAGCTGTTCTCTGATCATGCTGATCCTGAGTGGAATGACACATTTTGTTCATGCCAAAGGACATGATGAATCATGACACTTACAACAAAACTGTCTGTGTATGCTGTTGTCCAGTTGGAGGATTTGTGTTTCTCTTGCAAGATTCTTGAGAGGTTGCAGGCTCTGTATATTTTGGTAGTAAAGATCTGGGATGAAACATTTCTCCTCCAGTATTATTGGCATTAGAAGATGGGCTTGATTGGTTGACAGCTTTAGAAAGCAGTGCTTGTTTAGTTAGGAATCAGCTTAGTGAGAAGTAGGTAGTATGTGTGTTATTCTTCAATATTCCAGCTTTCCAGTGTTCCAGTGCTCCATTGCTTTCAATTAGCTGAAAATTGGTTTCTTGGTAAAGTACACGCTTGGTGGCTGTGTGGGACATTTGGTAGTATCAGACAACATGGATGACAAGAGAGTTGTGGAAAGGCATGGTTTTAAGTAGTGTAAACAATTATGGTGTTGACTATAAACTTTTGTAGTACAAAGAACCTTTCTGGTCATTCATCAGTGGTGTTTTGTTTCTATAGAGGCATAATTTCCTCCTTGGCATGTTGGTAGTGATCACCATCACTAAAGCTGCACATACTGTAGGGTATTAATAGGACAGATGTTTATCTGCGTGTAAGCTGAAGGCTGTTGTGCATATTGTATTTGGCTAATTTTTTGAATTACAGGACATGTTTCTTGCTCCTCGCTCGTATTATACCAGAGGTTCCTGTGGATTTTCTTGGGTTTCTTCTTGAATCAAGTGTAGTAGGTCTATCAATCAGGATTGAACAAAGGTGTTGTAAAGGAACTTTTAAGTCCACAGCCCAAGACGATCTCTGGACATAGGTAGAAAATGAAAAGCACCTTTTTGATAAGCAAGTTGACTGAGAAACTTCTTAGAAGGAAAAGATTAATGCTAAACCCAGCCTGTTTGAGAAGCCCTCAACAAGGCTGCTGTGGAGAAGCATTGTAACACATTTATCTTTTGATTATGGATAAGGTTACCATAAAATAAACAGTCAATCTGCTGAAAGGTTTTTGATCTTTGTGTCCTCAATAACCAGAGGTATCTTGTTTTAGCATAGGGACTTATCCAGTATTTCCAGGACCCCTTTGAACAGGTGGGTCTACTCCCACATTGATCATCTTCCCATTAATGGGATAAAAGAGCTTGTGTTTGAAAAGAGGGGCCTGTGTAGGAAGTACATGACCATCAGGTCACTGCCTTTGTTAAATCATGGCTATACGCTGGATAGTACAAGACGGTCAAGACAGAAAATTAATGTTGTACTCTCTTGGATGATCGTCTGTGGCACTGATTCTACACAGAACTGCTGGACTTGTTTCAGTTCCTCACCAGCTTTCTCTTTACTTTTTTTTTCTTCTTGTCTTTGATGGTCTCCTAGTTCTCCCTGCTCCACTGATTGGGGATTTTCCCTTTATTCTAATTGTGGCTAAAGGAGCTTCATTTTATGAGATAATTGTTTTCGATGTCTAAGTAACAGATCATTAAGATCAGACAAGAGTTGTTGAGAGTCTTGTGTCAGAGGTAGGGGCTGTAAATTTGTGGGTGTCAGCAGAATGAAAAGACACCTGTTAGCAATAAGCAAGGTTTGTTACTCACAACTGAGAGGGAACGGGAAGGGTGTTGGGTAGAACAATGGAAGTCATTGATATCGACTTTACACTCAAAGAAAGAAATCTTGAAATACATGAAGGGTGTTACGATGTAGATTGAATGTCTGGACCATTTCAACTTGGATGATGTAGTGTGATGGGTGCAGGGAATTTAATTAAGTGAGGTGTGTAGGAGCAATATCAAGTGACCGGAGCAAGGCCATTCTCACACCAAGTTTCAAGAAAAATGCAAGTGAGAGGCAACGACAGACAGTGTATCACTGTATCACTTTGCTATCCTTACAAAGCAAAATCTTCTGCAAAGTCATTGTGAAGCGTCTATCCTGAGATGTACACTGTAAGTGAAGTAAAACAAACCAAAGGTGGTGCATGTCACTGTGTAATGTCAGCCATGCAGGATGATTCAAATCGTCTGTGCTCTGTAATCCTCTGATGAAGCAGCCAAGTACTTCCAGTTGTCTTAAAGAATCAAGGCACAGTCTGCAGGACCACAAATTTATGGCATCAACAGATTGTACAGACACCCATTATTGATAAGCATTAGGTCTGTTAAAATGGGAAGGAGCAGGTCAAGAGTGATGGACGGAACATTTTAGGAAGGTCCTTAACCTGCCGGTCCAGATGAGCCAGCTAATCTATTGTCTGTGATGCTGAAGATCACCTTTTTATATGAGAAGTGGCTCATTAATGGTTTTTAATAAGGATAAAGCACCTTGCTAGATGAGATGAGCTTAGTGCCAAACATTTTAACTCTGACCCACTGAGCTGACTATAGAGATAACACTACTCTCACTTTTAACTGGAGGCTTGGGTCATGAAGGGATAACCAAGTGACTGGAGCGGAGGTGTTGTCTTAGTAATTTTCAAGAAAGCTACACAGGCTCACAGCAACAACTGGCAGGGTACCAGTTTGTTATCCTTGAAAGGCACTCTTATGTAAAATCATTGTGAGATGTCCATCCATGGCAATTAATGAACTGTTGCTGAAAGATTACGTTGATTGAGGAAGAAATCATGGCACAGAAACCTGTACAAGTTTAAGTTGATCAGTTAAAATTCTTAACTCTCTGGAAAGGGTAGAAGCAATAGGAGAAACAGAGAGATATATGAGAATCTTTTGCTCTCTCCAGACTCAGAATATTGATTGTTTAGAANATCAGTAACTTATTAAGATAAAAAGAATCATGTTTTTTCTTCTTTTCAACAACTGCATCGATAAATTCTTTGTAATTTTTATTCTGTGAGAATTTGGAACTTTGTCAAGGCAATTCTCCCTTCTATACCAATATTTCTTTTGAGAATTTGGTAGTACATCAAGACAGTTATTCTGACTACGACCAAGTTGTATTTTATTTTGTGTCACCAGAATTCTCCTAGAAGAAGCTATGATAATTAATTTATTTAATAATTAATTTCATTAATGAGAATTCAATGGGATATCAAGGCAAATATCTTTTTTCTTAGTGATTGCTACTACTTATCTTTTTCCTTAGTAGATGCTGAGGTCATGTACACAGAGAATCTGCGAATCGGAGAATTTCTGGGTGTACTAGCAGCAGGGATAGCTGGACATCACTAACACATGCTGCCATCATGGAGTCTTCTCAAACTGTCACTGATGATGAATTCTTAGTGGAACATGCTGTCAATCGTCTTCAACACAAAGCTGCTCAAAATGGCAATTGTATCACCTAACGTTTAAAAGGTGAAAAGAATTATTGTCACAGTGACTGCTAATCCCACAGGCACTGATGTACATATTTTAGTGAGAAGTAATATTTTGTTGTTACATCAAGACAGNATCAGTAACTTATTAAGATAAAAAGAATCATGTTTTTTCTTCTTTTCAACAACTGCATCGATAAATTCTTTGTAATTTTTATTCTGTGAGAATTTGGAACTTTGTCAAGGCAATTCTCCCTTCTATACCAATATTTCTTTTGAGAATTTGGTAGTACATCAAGACAGTTATTCTGACTACGACCAAGTTGTATTTTATTTTGTGTCACCAGAATTCTCCTAGAAGAAGCTATGATAATTAATTTATTTAATAATTAATTTAATTAATGAGAATTCAGTGGGATATCAAGGCAAATATCTTTTTTCTTAGTGATTGCTACTACTTATCTTTTTCCTTGGTAGATGCTGAGGTCATGTACACAGAGAATCTGCAAATCAGAGAATTTCTGGGTGCACTAGCAGCAGGGATAGCTGGACATCACTAACACATGCTGTCATCATGGAGTCTTCTCAAGCTGTCACTGATGATGAATTCTTAGCGGAACATGCTGTCAATTTTCTTCAACACAAAACTGCTCAAAATGGGAATTGTATCACCTAACGTTTAAAAGGTGAAAAGAATTATTGTCACAGTGACTGCTAATCCCACAGGCACTGATGTACATATTTTAGTGAGAAGTAATATTTTGTTGTTACATCAAGACAGTGTCCCCTAGAATCAATTATCCATCCCAGCGGCCACATGTACATGTATGCATGTTTAAGCTGTGAGAATTTGGTGACTGTTCAGTACATCAAGACAATATTCACTCAGTTGAATGGTGCTTATATCTCTCCATGTTGTTTGCTATTACATACAGTACATCTTTTTAGAATTCTGTGGTTCATCATTACAATTCCCTCTAAAACAGATCCTTGCTTATTAAATAAGTAAGGTATGTTTATTTTTATAACAGGTAGCACTACACATAGCAGTGATACAGTTTCAGAAAGTTGTCAAAGTCAATGCATTCAAATTCTCTACCTGTTGTTATAAAGGGCTGGTGCAGCTATGGAGGCCTTATGTGCCACAAGGCACAAAGAAGCTAAGTGAAGTGAAGTGAAGCAGCTATGGATGACATACTGCGAAAGGCATCTCAATTCTGTTTTCTTTCTCTTGTGGCGTATGGAAAGCCCTCATTTCATGTACACCAGGATCAACATGGTACTTGGACACCAGCAAAGAACGTTGATGACATAGAGCTTTCTCAGGTGGTCACTGGATGATCCTACCAATTCGCTTAAACACAAAATTGCTCAAGAGAGTGGAATATTGGTAAGTTTTAGTAGGCTGCAAGAATTTGATGTTAGATTAACATCCTCAGTACTGATGGTTATCATAATGAGCAAGTTGTATTGACCATGTACAGCTTAATCAAGGTAAACATCAACCTCCCTTACCATTGTTGAAAGATGGTAAATCACAGAGCACTTCTCAATAATGTTATCTCACATGGATGCTGCTGTCTGTTTGGGTGACCCCCTGTGGTTTCCAAGTGGACTGGTGTCAACAACAGTTTTAGACCAATACACAAAGTTGACATCATGAGGTCAGTGTTGCTGTCACATCCTGGTAATAAACTTGGAGACAAAGCTGCTTAAGGTTGAAGTTAGTAACTCTCAGAGGATTAAAAACATACCAGTCTTAATATTATTCCACACCTACAACCTCTACTAGTTTTACTATACTAATGTCTGTTTTGAGAATTTGATGGTACCATCAAAACAATATATCTTTGATTCACACATGTTATTCTCCATACTGACTGCATCGCTAGTGTATGTTCTGAGAATTTGGGTGTATATCAAGATATAATAGAATATAATTTCTCTGTACTGATTGCCTTTCTTACTAATGCATGTTCTTAGAATTTGGTCTACATCAAGACCATGTCTTCTAGAATCATGCCACCTCTCCACATACCATTATTGCAACTTCTCAGGACTGCATTTTTGTAGCAAATGAAAGAAGCAAGTTAACCCTTGATCCATTGGTACATTTCTTCTCCACTCTGGCAGTAGCAGAATAAAGCTGTGTGCAAGTCCATGGGTGATTCTCCATTTATGAGGCTGTTGTCACAATATGATTTCACCGGCAATCTACTAGGGAACTTAAGCACATTTTACAAGTTAATAGCTGGAACTGAAAAACATACATATACATCACTTACCTTCATGATAACAAAAGATGATCCAAAATGTCTTAATGAAATGAGCAATATCTTTTACTTTTGTAATGATTTTCACGCCTCCGAAAATGGACGTTTTGAGTTATGTGATTGCCCCCGAAAGTGGGCTAATTTGACCTAGACAGTAATAGTTATTTAATCTCAAGTTAAGTGACTCATAATGTATTACAAAAAAGCACACTGACACCATTTTTTCTAGTTTTATTGTATTGATAAGTAATATCAGAAACTCATAAGGGGCTCAATACCCCTTTTAAGTTTCAGGCAATGCATATTAATAGAAAAGTTAGTTACAATAATATTTAATGTCTTCATGGTTTCTTGCTGTCTTCTCCATTCTACTCGCTCCCGAAAATGAGCAGCCACCACATGCTATGATTACTATGCTTTTTACGATAACAATATTGCTTTTTACAATGCAAAAAAATCCACAGGACCTAAATTAAAGCATGAGGGGGTGCACTTCTTAAGCTGAATAATTTGGCATCCAGAGAAAGCCAAGAGTGTCCCAGTGTCAGTTGACACTTCTTTTGGAACACCCAGGGCTCCTGGATGATTCTCATTGGTCTGTAATCTTTGGCTTGGTAATGAATCAATGTCAATACCAAGCCTTAATGTGCTTGTAGCCGGATAATGTTTGGAAACCAAAAGCCGAACTGTAAGCGAAAGCCGAACCAAAAGGCTATCATTAATTATTATAATTAAAACAATTTAATCCACGTACCTTTTGCCAGGTTGTAGAAATAACCTACCTTAAATATCATCTCTTGGTCCTTCAACCCAAAGGATAGCTCTGTCTCAACATAAGCATCGCCAGAGAAATGCTTCTGAATGACATGACATGACAAGCATACAAGTGGAGCAGCCAAGAGGTACAACTGACACTAAGATCACGGATGACTCTTATTGAGTGGTTTCTCTTGGCCATATTCCAGTCTTGTTGATCCCTTTTGAAGCTACTTGACATGTATAGTGATGTCATGAGATTACTTGAAGGTACAATGATCCAGTGAGAATTCCATGCTTTGGAAATTCATCCACCCTTGCTGCAAAATAGTCCTTCAATTATGTTTGTAATGAAGTCTTTCTCTCACAAGACTTCCGGGTTAGAGTTCAGTATGAGGTTGACAACCTCACCCCATAAATAGGAAATATCTCAAAGGGCAGCAACAAGATTCAATTAAGCAGGAAGTCAAAGACTAGGAATGGAGTTTGAAATGTAAGGGCTGTATAGCACTAGCAGACGTTCACAGGTGACCAGGTAGACGAGTGAAAAAACGTATAATTCACATAATCACTCTTGGCTTCAGTCAGTGCAGATGGAGTGAATTTGTTTCTTAGGAAACAGACGTGGAAGCAATTTTGCTTTTAGACCTGAGTGATATCCAAGATTCTAAAGAACTTGCAGTTGCTTACCTTGAGAAGTTTGCTGAGAAGTTCATCCTTGAATAGGAAACAGTGAGATATTGATCAAATCCAAATTCTGCTGATGCTGGGCAAGGATGAATCCAGAGCTGTTCTCTGATCATGCTGATCCTGAGTGGAATGACACATTTTGTTCATGCCAAAGGACATGATGAATCATGACACTTACAACAAAACTGTCTGTGTATGCTGTTGTCCAGTTGGAGGATTTGTGTTTCTCTTGCAAGATTCTTGAGAGGTTGCAGGCTCTGTATATTTTGGTAGTAAAGATCTGGGATGAAACATTTCTCCTCCAGTATTATTGGCATTAGAAGATGGGCTTGATTGGTTGACAGCTTTAGAAAGCAGTGCTTGTTTAGTTAGGAATCAGCTTAGTGAGAAGTAGGTAGTATGTGTGTTATTCTTCAATATTCCAGCTTTCCAGTGTTCCAGTGCTCCATTGCTTTCAATTAGCTGAAAATTGGTTTCTTGGTAAAGTACACGCTTGGTGGCTGTGTGGGACATTTGGTAGTATCAGACAACATGGATGACAAGAGAGTTGTGGAAAGGCATGGTTTTAAGTAGTGTAAACAATTATGGTGTTGACTATAAACTTTTGTAGTACAAAGAACCTTTCTGGTCATTCATCAGTGGTGTTTTGTTTCTATAGAGGCATAATTTCCTCCTTGGCATGTTGGTAGTGATCACCATCACTAAAGCTGCACATACTGTAGGGTATTAATAGGACAGATGTTTATCTGCGTGTAAGCTGAAGGCTGTTGTGCATATTGTATTTGGCTAATTTTTTGAATTACAGGACATGTTTCTTGCTCCTCGCTCGTATTATACCAGAGGTTCCTGTGGATTTTCTTGGGTTTCTTCTTGAATCAAGTGTAGTAGGTCTATCAATCAGGATTGAACAAAGGTGTTGTAAAGGAACTTTTAAGTCCACAGCCCAAGACGATCTCTGGACATAGGTAGAAAATGAAAAGCACCTTTTTGATAAGCAAGTTGACTGAGAAACTTCTTAGAAGGAAAAGATTAATGCTAAACCCAGCCTGTTTGAGAAGCCCTCAACAAGGCTGCTGTGGAGAAGCATTGTAACACATTTATCTTTTGATTATGGATAAGGTTACCATAAAATAAACAGTCAATCTGCTGAAAGGTTTTTGATCTTTGTGTCCTCAATAACCAGAGGTATCTTGTTTTAGCATAGGGACTTATCCAGTATTTCCAGGACCCCTTTGAACAGGTGGGTCTACTCCCACATTGATCATCTTCCCATTAATGGGATAAAAGAGCTTGTGTTTGAAAAGAGGGGCCTGTGTAGGAAGTACATGACCATCAGGTCACTGCCTTTGTTAAATCATGGCTATACGCTGGATAGTACAAGACGGTCAAGACAGAAAATTAATGTTGTACTCTCTTGGATGATCGTCTGTGGCACTGATTCTACACAGAACTGCTGGACTTGTTTCAGTTCCTCACCAGCTTTCTCTTTACTTTTTTTTTCTTCTTGTCTTTGATGGTCTCCTAGTTCTCCCTGCTCCACTGATTGGGGATTTTCCCTTTATTCTAATTGTGGCTAAAGGAGCTTCATTTTATGAGATAATTGTTTTCGATGTCTAAGTAACAGATCATTAAGATCAGACAAGAGTTGTTGAGAGTCTTGTGTCAGAGGTAGGGGCTGTAAATTTGTGGGTGTCAGCAGAATGAAAAGACACCTGTTAGCAATAAGCAAGGTTTGTTACTCACAACTGAGAGGGAACGGGAAGGGTGTTGGGTAGAACAATGGAAGTCATTGATATCGACTTTACACTCAAAGAAAGAAATCTTGAAATACATGAAGGGTGTTACGATGTAGATTGAATGTCTGGACCATTTCAACTTGGATGATGTAGTGTGATGGGTGCAGGGAATTTAATTAAGTGAGGTGTGTAGGAGCAATATCAAGTGACCGGAGCAAGGCCATTCTCACACCAAGTTTCAAGAAAAATGCAAGTGAGAGGCAACGACAGACAGTGTATCACTGTATCACTTTGCTATCCTTACAAAGCAAAATCTTCTGCAAAGTCATTGTGAAGCGTCTATCCTGAGATGTACACTGTAAGTGAAGTAAAACAAACCAAAGGTGGTGCATGTCACTGTGTAATGTCAGCCATGCAGGATGATTCAAATCGTCTGTGCTCTGTAATCCTCTGATGAAGCAGCCAAGTACTTCCAGTTGTCTTAAAGAATCAAGGCACAGTCTGCAGGACCACAAATTTATGGCATCAACAGATTGTACAGACACCCATTATTGATAAGCATTAGGTCTGTTAAAATGGGAAGGAGCAGGTCAAGAGTGATGGACGGAACATTTTAGGAAGGTCCTTAACCTGCCGGTCCAGATGAGCCAGCTAATCTATTGTCTGTGATGCTGAAGATCACCTTTTTATATGAGAAGTGGCTCATTAATGGTTTTTAATAAGGATAAAGCACCTTGCTAGATGAGATGAGCTTAGTGCCAAACATTTTAACTCTGACCCACTGAGCTGACTATAGAGATAACACTACTCTCACTTTTAACTGGAGGCTTGGGTCATGAAGGGATAACCAAGTGACTGGAGCGGAGGTGTTGTCTTAGTAATTTTCAAGAAAGCTACACAGGCTCACAGCAACAACTGGCAGGGTACCAGTTTGTTATCCTTGAAAGGCACTCTTATGTAAAATCATTGTGAGATGTCCATCCATGGCAATTAATGAACTGTTGCTGAAAGATTACGTTGATTGAGGAAGAAATCATGGCACAGAAACCTGTACAAGTTTAAGTTGATCAGTTAAAATTCTTAACTCTCTGGAAAGGGTAGAAGCAATAGGAGAAACAGAGAGATATATGAGAATCTTTTGCTCTCTCCAGACTCAGAATATTGATTGTTTAGAATGACAGTACGTTATTTCAAGAGGCACAAAGCTTCAATATAGCTCGCATTAGAAAATGGTGTATTTGTTTGCTCAAGCAAGTAAACACACAGTATTGAGTTTTCTAAAAAGGCAAAGCTGGATTAGAGGTGACTGTTATCCATCCAAAACTAATGTGACACTGGATTGGACATGCTCCATGAGGAAGTAAATAACAACTGCCAAGTTGTTCTCAGATGGATACCATAGAGTAAATTGAAAAAGGACATTCCAGGTCCACCTGGTTGAAGAACAGGAAGAAGAGAAGCTCTAAGCCTTGTGACTTGCAAAGGACCAAGAATAGAGACAGATCCTTTTGTTTTTCTGTGCAACTCTTGGCATACAAAGGATTGATTGTGACAGCAATGTCATTAGATGGTGACAAAGCTTCAATGGCAGCTCTCGTTGAAATCATCATTCTGCACCCCAGGTACACAAGGCCATTCATTGTTGTACTTTGCCACTATCTTCATCCAAAGCCATGATGTTTGCTTCCTGTTGAATTTGCTACAGTTAACACTCAATCTACCTGGCTTGTCTACGCCTTACATCTTAAGTTAGCTATTGGACTGACAGAAATGGAGAAACCTTGCTGTTTCCCTGTGATCCACTCGGTGGCAAAGGATGATGAAGACAATGATGTCATGGATGACACACGAGTGTATAACCTCCGCGTTTACTTCATTGAAGCATTTTGCATGTCTTGTTTGCGTTTGTTGTATGTGTTGTCAGGAATTGCCCATGCTCCATCATGGAGCAAATAGACAATGTCAAGCACACCTTGAAGCTTCAATGGCTTTGCTGGTTGAAACATTGATATCCTAGGCATACAAGGCCAGAATGATATTTTGCCATGGATCCATTCCTGTCCTCTGTCAGTCTTGAGCAGACATGCTGACATCTCCATCCAGTCAGGTCCTGTTTAACACTTTACATTACCTATTTACCTACAATAACCTACTAGTGCTCTTTTCTTTCTTACTTTATCAATAGGTGATTTTCATTATGATGTCATAAAAATAGAATCCAATTTTTGTCTTTCCCTTGTGGTAAACAAAGCAAGTACTTGTTATTCAAGGCCAAGTACAGTGAAATGTGATTGTTGTAGTCAAATGACATCATAATGGAAGCAACCCATTGTTTGGTGTTCATCTACTTGTCTTGGTCCTGGTCTTCTTTCATCACTGCATTGGCAGCTTCCTATCTACTTACTTTAACTACACTTGCTATCTAATCATAATGATCTTGTGAGAGTCTTGGTTGGTTCCAATGCATATCGGTCTTCTGTGTTCACTTTTCCAGTCTATATTGTTGTTGCTGATGAGAAGTCTACCTATGCCTACAATTTGCAGACAGTCTAAGCTATGAAGGCCTACCACATGCATTGTAGGACTCCTTTAAGGAGAGTCCTCCCACAAGGCAGCATTGACAAGGAGACAGATGTACATGTCTAAATATCAACATGGCCATAGTGAGAAAATCCCCCCCACTGCCTGTCACTCAAAGGCTGTCTTTACTAACTACCTAACTAACTCTCCTCCTCCTCAGGTTGGTTGGGTCATCTTCATTGGTTGGTCTTGTGGTCTACTTAGATACCTTATCTGAACTGAGGTGTGTGCATTGTCCCATAATCCCATTCCCCTAGTGCCTTTTAATTTTTTGAAGGTTTTAAGGAAATTTTATTTTCCCTTATCCAGAACTGTCAGAAAAAAATGAAATTTGTCCTTGTAGACATCATCTACAATGGAAAAAATGTTTCCTTGAAATTTGAACCAGCCCCCTTTGCAAGCTTTTTAAAAACATTGTAAACCTCACAACAATAAAAGGCATTAGGGTAAGTACTTACAGTCCTAACAACTGATTGATACTAGGGTACTAAGTTATAAACTGTAATGCTATATCTGGTTGAACCTTACTGGACGAATTTCACTTATCAGAGTGCTGACTGTCAAGTGAAATGTAATAGATGAATTGAACTAGGCGCAACTAAGCGGGAGTCAAACCACAGTACAAACAATGACATATAATGTCTCCAACTTGAAGTCGAAATGAAGCCGGAGCGAGATTGAACATCAGAGCCAGCATGTAGTCGAAAAAAGCCAGAGTGAAGTGAAAATCCAACCAGAATGAGGCCGAATAACCTGCAACTTAACCCAAATTTAATACGAGGCAAAAGGGAGGAACCATACCAATCCCAGGGACCCATCAGTAAACTAACTAAATTATCTACATTAAGTTAAGCCAAATCAGAAGTCCAGGGACTTCTGGCCGAAGAGTGTGTGCTTGTATGCTTCATAAGGTTCATCCAGAGCTTTATATTTACCCTCCCCTCCCAGCCCACAGTGTAATTACTGACCACCATCATCATGTCTCGTCAGAGTCTTGGATGAAGTCAGCTGATCTGGGTTGAAGCTGAATTAGCTTAGACCATGAGTCGATCTTTGGTTTGGGAGGACTGAACTGTACCATGCTGTTCAGAAGGTCTTGGGATGGTTGCTTGGTGAAGAGGATTGATTGGAGCACAACTGATGCTCAGGAAATGAACTGAAAAATGATAAGAAGAAAAGTGAGCCTTATATAATCTTCCACTTTGAATGATATAAGTACTGAACATTTGATTGTGGATGGTTAAGACAATATACAATACCCTTAACGTCATCCTTCTGTGTAATTGGCTTGAGTGATCAGAATTTGGCTAGTAAATTCAATATAATTTCTCTGGCAATAACAATAGTCTTTCCCTATTCATACCAATAGTGTATAAGTTATGCAGGCTGCAAGAACTTGGAGCTATATCAAGACAATGTCCCCTGCAGTCATGCGTCCCATGTGTCAACTACGTTGTACTAGTTATGTGCAGCTAAAGCAGTATTGTCTGATTCATTGTGGCAGAAATATCAAAACTACCTTACCTCTGATCGAAATCATGTGCAGTCCCAAAGCACTAGCTTCTTAATATTATCTCCATCTCAAACTGGTGCAATTTTCTGATAGGTTGATCCAACGTTCTTTCTCACTGGATGTTTATCAGGGACAGTGTTACACTCTCAAGCTTTCATGGAGCATCCTGCTAATTTGCTCAAACACAGATCTGCTCAAGATAGAGGTTAGTAATGATTAAAAGTAAAAGTGCATTAAATTTGAGACAAGTGGTTAATTTCACAATCACAATCTCTGCAAGGATGGTCATGCTAAGATACATTTGAGATTTGTGTAAAGACATCATTTCTTTTTGAACCATATATTTGGTACAGTGTGAGCAGTACATGTTCTGAGAATTTTGCAGTACATCAAGACAATGGCAACCTTAACACTGTTTTCTTTTCTGATGTATGCTCTGAGAATTTGGAGATAATTCAAGGCAATGTCTCCAAAACTCGTGCCATTTCTCATCATACCTTTGTTGTTAAACTTCGCAAGACTGCCTTTGTTGTTACCAATGATCAATAAGATTACCTCTGATCCATGCATCCATTTCTTTTCTGTTGTTCTGGTAGTAGTAGAATGAACTTGTCTGCAAGGTCATGGATGATTGTCCACGTTTGAGGTGGTTTTTAGGAGAGGATTTAATCAGCACTCTACCAGGGAACTAAAGCACATTTTACAAGTTAATAGCTGAAACTGATAATCATGTGTGACTTACCTTTATGATGAGGAATGATGGTCCCAAATGTCCTCAATGAACATTCAATAAATTTCACTTTTGATCACTTTTTGACGCCCCCGAAAATGGACGCTTCTTGATTTTGGTAATTTGGACGCCCCGGAAAATGGACACTGTTTGAGTTTGGTAATTTGAGTCAATGTGTTTGCCCCCGAAAGTGGGCTGATTCCACCTAGATAACAATACTTTAGTACCTTACATTAAGTAGCTAATGTATTAGAAAAAAACAGACTAACACCATGTTTTTAGTTTTATTGTATTAATAAGTAATATCAGAAACTCATAAAGGGGCTCAACAACTCCTTATGAGTTTCTGGCAAATGTAAATTAACATAAAAGTTAGTTACAATAATATTTAATCTCTTCGTGATTTCTTGCTGTCTCCTCCTTTCTGTTTGCTCCCGAAAATGAGCAGCAACCACCAGCTACGATTACTATGCTTTTTACAATAACAATATTACTTTTTACAATGCAAAAAAATCCACAGGACCTAAGTTAAAGCATGAGGGGGTGCGCTCCTAAAGCTGAATAATTTAGCATCCAGAGAAAGCCAAGAGTGTCCCAGTGTCAGTTGACACTTCATTTGGAACACCCAGGGCCCCTGGATGATTCTCATTGGTCTGCGAGCTTTGGCTTGGTAACAAGTCATCTCGCTACCAAGCCTTAATGTGTTTGTAGCCGGATAATGTTCCGAAACCAAGAGCCGAACTGTAAGCGAAACCCGAACCAAAATGCTATCATTAATTATTATAGTTAAAACAACTTAATCCACGTACCTCTTGCCAGGTTGTAGAAACAACTTACCTTAAATATCATTTCTTGGTCCTTCAACCCAAAGGATAGCTCTGTCTCAACATAAGCATTGCCAGAGAAATGCTTCTGAATGTATGACATGACAAGCATACAAGTAGAGCAACCAAGAGGTACAAATGACACTAAGATCATGGATGACTCTTATTGAGTGGTTTCTCTCAACCATATTCCAGTCTTGTTCATCCCTTTTGAAGCTGCTCCACATGTATAGTGATGTCGTGAGTTTAGTTGAAGGTATGAAGATCCAGCAAGAATTCCACAGTTTGGAAATTGATCCACCCTTGCTGCAAGATAGTCCTTTAATTAGGTTTGTAATGTCTTTCTCTTACAGGACTTCCAGGTTAGACTTCAATATGAGGTTGAAAACCTCACCCCATAAATCGGGAATGTCTCAAAGGGCAGCAACAAGAAGTGAGTGGCAAGTCAAAGACTAGAAATAGAGTTTGAAATGTAAGGGCTATATAGCACTAGTAGACGTTCACAGGTCACCAGATAGATGAGTGAAAAAACGTATAATTCACATATTCTTGGCTCCAGTTAGTGCAGATGGAGTAAATTTGTTTCTTAGGGAACAGACTTGGAAGCAATTTTGTTTTCAGTCCTGAATGATATCCGAGACTTGCAGTTGCGTACCTTGAGAAGTTTGCTGAGAAGTTCATCCTTGAGTAGGAAACAATGAGATATTGATCAGATCCAGATTCTACAGTACTGATGCTGGGCAAGGATGACTGAAATCCAGAGCTGTTCTTTGATAATACTGATCCTGAGTGGAATAACACATTTTGTTCATGCCAAAGAACATGATGAATCATGACACTTATGATGAAAGTGTCTGTGTATGCTGTGGTCCAGTTGGAGGATTTGTGTTTCTCTTGCAAGATTCTTGAGAGGTTGCAGACTCTGTATATTTTGGTAGTAAAGATCTGGGATGAGACATTTCTCTACCAGTATTATTGACATCAGAAGATGGCCTTGATTGGTTGACAGCTACAGAAAAGCAGTGCTTGTTTAGTTAGGAATCAACCTAGTGAGTAGGTAGTATTTGTGTTATTCCTCAATATTCCAGCCTTCCAGTGCTCCATTGCTTTCAAGTAGCTGAAAATTGGTTTCTTGGTATAGTACATGCTAGTTGGCTGTGTGGGACATTTGGTAGCATCAGATGGCATGGATGACGAGAGAGTTGTGGAAAGGCGTGGTTTTAAGTAGTGTAAACAATGATGGTGTCTAAGACTTACGAACTTTTGTAGTACAAAAGAACCTTTCTGGCCATTCATCAGTGGTGTCTTGTTTCTATACAGGCATAATTTCCTCCACCTCTCTTAATAGGTGGGATGAGAGTGAAATTAATAATAATCCTCATCCCTGGAAAACAGAACATTTCTTGTAACATTTAATGGCGTGTTGGGAGTGATCACCATCACTAAAGCTACACATAGGGTGTTAGTAGGACAGATGTTTCTCTGTGTGTAAGCTCAGGGCTGTTTTGCATATTGCATTTGGCTCCTTTTTGAATTAAAGGACATGTTTATTGCTCCTCACTTGTATTATATCAGGGGTTCTTGTGTATTTTCTTGGGCTTCTTCTTGAATCCAAGTGTAGTAGGTCTACCAATCAGGATTAACCAAACGTGTTGTAAAGGAACTTTTAAGTCCTGTGGAGGTGCGGTGGTTTCATGGTTAGTGCACTTGTCCCCAGATCGAGCGGTCCAGGTTCGACCTTGGCTGGGGACACTGTGTTGTGTTCTTGGGCAAGACACTTAACTCTCATAGTGCCTCTCTCCACCCAGGAGTATAAATGGGTACCAGCAAATTGTTGGGGAAACCTAACAAATTGCAGGGGAGTGACCTGCGATGGACTAGCATCCCATCCAGGGGAAGTAGAAATACTCCTACCCACTTTATGTTACAGAAACCAGGATAAGCTCCGGCAGCTATGAGCCAATTGGCTCCAAGGATTCACTTTAATATATAATTTAATGCAGATCATGTGTTAAAAAGCTTAGCTTTGCTCAGTATCCTTGATGTTTGAGTGCAGTACATTAGCAGAGGCTACTGTTACAAATCACAAGTAATCCACAGCCCGAGACAACCTCTGGACATAGGTACAAAATGAAAAGCACCTTTTTGATAAGCAAGTTGACTGAGAAACTTCTTAGAAGGAAAGGAAGAATACTAAACCCAGCATGTTTGAGAAGCCCTCAACAAGGCTGCTGTGGAGAGGCATTGAGACACATTTATCTTTATCTTATGTTAAGGTTACCATAAAATAAACAGTCGGTCCGCAGAAGGGTTTTTGATCTTTGTGTCCTCAATACCCAGAGGCATCTTGTTTTAACTCAGGGACTTATCCAATATTTCCAGGACCTCTTTGAACAGGTGGGTCTACACCCACATCAGTCATCTTCCCATTGATGGGATAAAAGAGCTTGTGTTTGAGAAGAGGGGCCTGTGTAGGAAGTACATGACCATCAGGTCACTGCCTTTGTTAAATCAAGGCTATACTCTGAATACTACCAGACAGTCAAGACAAAATTAATGTTGTACTCTCTTGGATGATCGTCTGTGGCACAGATTCTATATGGAACTGCTGGACTTGGTCGAGTTACTCACCAGCTTGCTCTTTGCTTTCTTCTTGTCTTTGATGGTCTCCTAGTTGTCCCCGTTCCACTAACTGTGCATGTTTCCTTGAATCCAATAATATTGTGGTTAAAGGGGCTTCATGTATGTTCCATTTTATGAGAGAATTGTTTTCAATGTCTAAGTAACAGATCATTAAGATCAAACAAGAGTTGTTGAGAATCTTGTATCTTTGGCAGAGCCTTCTGCTTAAGTTTCCAAGCAAACCTGTGAATTTGTTGGTGTAAGCAGAAAGAAAAAACACCTATTAGTAATAGGCAAGGTTTGCTACTTGCAACTGAGAAGGAACAGGAAGGGTGTTGGACAGAAAAATGGAAGTCATTGACATCAACCTTACCCACCAAAAAAGAGGAATCTTGTAATACATGAATGGTTTTGCGAATGTAGATTGAACATCTGGACCATTTCAACTTGGATGGTGTAGTGTGATGGCTGCAGAGAATTTAATTAAGTGAGGTGTGTAGGAGCAATATGAAGTGACTGGAGCAAGGCCATTCTCATACCAAGATTCAGGAAAGAAATGCAATGTAAAGGCAACATGAGACAGTGTATCACTGTATCACTTTGCTATCCTTACAAAGCAAAATCTTCTACAAAGTCATTGTGAAACATCTATCCTGAGGTGTAAGTGAAGTAAAACAAACCACAAGCCACTGTGCAATGTCAGCCAGGCAGGTTGATTGAAATCTGCGCTCTGTAATCCTCTGATGAAGAAGCCCAGTACTTCCAGTTCTCTTAGAGAATAAAGGCAAAGTCTGCAGGACCACAAATTCGTGGCATCAACAGATAGCACAGACACTTATTATTGATAATCAAGGTCTGTTACAACTGGGTGGGAACAGGAAGAGTGAAGGACAGAAAATGGCAGAAAGGTCCTTAACATGGAGGTCCAGTGTTGAAGATCACTTCTTTATATGAACAGTGGTTTTAAAAATGGTAAAGCACCTTGCTGGACCAGACCAGCTCAATGCTGAACATGTTAAGTCTGACCCACTGAGCTGACTATAACTATATTACTCTCACTTTCAAGAGAACCACATGGGCTGATGGCAACTACTGGCATTGTAACACTTTAATATCCTTGAAAGGCAATCTTCTGGTAAATCATTATGAGATGTCCATCCATGGCAATTAATGATCTGCTACAGTTAGATTACCTTGACTGAGTAAGAAATCATGGCATGGAACTCTTAAGGAGTCTCAGTAGTGAAGTATGAAAGTCATTTTTGTTGTTTTGTTGTATTTCCACATTCAACATTTTCTGAGTAATGAAATATTTCACAGATGTTATGAAAGTGAAGAAAGGATACAGGAGTTAGCAATTTAAGATCTACATGTGATAGAGAACAATGGAGAAAGAATGTCAGCAGGGACAAAGATGATGATGAAGACAGCAATGATAAGTTTAATGCTGGAACTTTCACAAAAGCTTCCATGTTTAATCTGGTGTACTACTGGGATATGTTACCTGAGGTTTAATGTAAAACATTGCCACCGTTGGGTGCTGTTTTGAACCACAGACTGGAGTAGAGGATTATGTTGACATTGTTCCATTGGAAGATCACCTTGCTCTTTTATATCTTTGTTGTAATATCAAGTAGCAACCACTGGAGAGCTGGGAGGTAAAGGTTACTCACTCTGAAGAATACTTGGGTGATGACTTTAAACATAACAGCACCAACACCAGTCAAGATTGGAGAACACACTGTTTTTCAGGATCTCTCCAGTTCTTTAATAACTCTGCCATTATTCAAGAACAAACATTCTGAAGTGGCAAGGCAATGTCACAGGAGTGTTCATAAGTTTCTGATCTCTCTTGAGGGGTAGAAACAACAGTGGAAACACAGACATATATATGACTCTTTTGCAGTCTCAAAATGCAGAATAGTGATTGTTTAGAATGACAGTACATGATTTGAAGAAGGAGAAAGCTTCGAGAAAAATGTCGTATTTCTTTGGCCAAGAAATGAAAACTGCAGTTTTGAGTTTTCCATAAAGGAAAAGCCGGATTAGAGGTGACTGTTATCCATTCTGAAACTAAAGTGACATTGGATTGGACATGCTCCATAGAAGGCAAATAACAACTGCAAAGTTGTTCTCAGATGGATTCCAGAGAGTAAAATTGAAAAAAGACATTCCAGGTTCACCATTGGGAAGAACAAAAAAAGAACAGGAAGGGAAGCTCTAAGTCTTAACTAGGTGCAAGCCTTTTGACCCGCAAAGGACCAAGGATACAGATAGATCCTTTTGTTTTTCTGGGCAACTCTTGGTGTCCAAAGGATTGATTATGGCAGCAATGACAATAGATGGTGACAAAGCTTCAATGGTAGCTCTTGTTGAAATCATCATTTTGCACCCCAGGTACCCAAGGCCATTCATTGTTGTACTTTGCCACTATCTTCATCCAAAGCCATGATGTTTGCTTCCTGCTGAATTTGCTACAATTAATACTTTATCTACCTGGCTTGTCTACTCCTTCCTTCCTAATGTTAGCTATTGGACTGACAGGAATGGCGAGACCTTGTTGTTTCCCTGTGATCCACTCAGTGGCAAAGGATGATGAACACGATGTCATGGATAAGACATGAGAGTATAACCTCCGTGTTTACTTCATTGAAGCAGGTTGCATGTCTTGATTGCTTTTGTTGTATGTGTTGTCTACAATTGCCCATGCTCCATCATGGAGTAAACAGACAATGTCAAGCACATCTTGAAGCTTCAATGGCATTGCTGGTTGAAACATTGATATCCTAGGCGTACAAGGCCAGAATGATATTTTGCCATGGATCCATTCCTGTCCTCTGTCAGTCTTGTGCAGACATGCTGACGTCTCCATCCAGTCAGGTCCTGTTTAACAATTTACATTACCTATTTACCTACAATAACCTAGTAGTGCTCTTTTCTTTCTTACTTTATCAATAGGTGATTCTCATTGTGATGTCATAAAAACAGAATCCAAATTTTTATAATCACGGTAGATCCAAATACAGTGAAATGTGGTTGTTGTAGTCAAATGACATCATAATGTAAGCAACCTATTGTTTGGTGTTCATCTACTTGTCTTGGTCCTGGTTTCATCTTCTTCTTTCATCACCGCTTTGGTAGCTTCCTATCTACTTACTTTAACTAAACTACCTGATCATGATGATCTTCTAACAGTCATTGGTTGGCTCAATTGAAGACCAGTCTTCTGTGTTCACTTTTCCAGTCTGTATTGTTGTTGCTGATGTGAAGTCTACCTGTGCCTACAATTTGTAGACAGTCTAAGCTATGAAGGCCTACCACATGCACTGTAGGCCTCCTTTGAGGAGAGTCCTCCCACAAGGCAGCATTGGCAAGGAGACAGATGTACATGTCTAAATGTCAACACTACCATAGTGAGAAAATCCTCCCCACTGCCTGTCACTCAAAGGCTGTCTTTACTAACTGCCTGACTAACTCTCCTCCTCCTCAAGTTGGTTGGATCATCTTCATCGGTTGGTATTGTGGTCTACTTAGATACCTTATCTGAACTGAGGTGTGTGCATTGTCCCATAATCCCATTCCCCTAGTGCCTTTTAATTTTTTGAAGGTTTTAAGGAAATTTTTTTTCCATTATCCAGATCTGTCAGAAAGAAATGAAATTTGTCCTTGTAGACATAAAGGGTGAACGTTATCTTAATGACTCATCTACGATGGAAAAATGTTTTCCTTGAAATTTGACTTGGCCCACTTTGCAAGCTTTTTAAAAAACATTGTTAACCTCACAAAAATTAAAGGCATTAGGGTAAGTACTTAGAGTCCTAACAACTGATTGATACTACTTGAACTGAACTAGAAACTGAAACCATTAAACCAGCAACGAGTGGCCAAAACTGGTCTCCTTGCTGCAGTTGAATGGCTTTGGCTTCTAGGGTACTAAGTTATAAGCTGTAATGTTATATCTGGTTGAACCTTACTGGACGAATTTCACTTATCAGCGTGCTGACTGTCAAGTGAAATGTAATAGATGAATTCACCTAGGCGCAACTAAGCGGGAGTCAAACCGCAGCACGAACAATGACATATAATGTCTTGAACTTGAAGTCGAATTGAAGCCGAAGCGAAGTTGAACGTCAGTCGGAGTGTAGTCGAAAAAAGCCGGAGTGAACTGAATGAGGCCGAAAAAAATTAAGGCCGATCTGCCATCACTGGCTGAAGAACCTGCAAAGAAACCCAAATTTAATACAAGGCAAAAGGGAGGAACCACACCAATCCCAGGGACGCATCAGTAAACTAACTAAATTATCTACCTTAAGTTAAGCCGAATCAGAAGTCTAGGGACTTCTGGCCGAAGAGTGTGTGCTTGTATGCTTCGTAAGGTTCATCCAGAACTTTATATTTACCCTCCCCTCCCAGCCCACAGTGTATTTACTGACCACCATCATCATGTCTCATCAGAGTCTTGGATGAAGTCAGGCTGATCTGGGTAGAAGCTGAATAAGCTTAGACCATGAGTCGATCTTTGGTTTGGGAGGACTGAACCATACCATGCTGTTCAGAAGGTCTTGGGATGGCTGCTTGGTGAAGAGGATTGATTGGAGCACAACTGATGCTCAGGAAATGAACTGAAAAATGATAAAAAA